TTTAAAGGAAGAAATATTCATGGAACTTCCACCGGGATACCGAAAATCTGGAAAATGTGCTGCACTCCGTAAATGTATCTACGGTCTAAAACAATCAGGCCGTGAATGGTACGCCTGCATATCGACATCACTTCAACAAAAAGGATTCGAAATAGCAGATTTCGACCCATGCGTCTTCGTTCATCCAACAGAAAACGCCTTTGTAGCGATATACGTTGACGACATACTAATCTTTTGTTCAGATAATAAATTTAGCCAAAACCTCAAGTCATGTATCGGAAAAGATTTTGATTGCAAGGACTTAGGAAATGCTCATTATATCCTTGGACTACAGATTAAACTAGAAAAAACAGGTATCCGACTCTCTCAACAAGGTTACTCAAAGAAGATTCTAGAACGCTTTGGCCTTACACTTGCTCACAAAGTAAGTACTCCTCTCGATCCAAACGTCACCCTTTTCAAAGGCACTGAAGAGGAACGTCTCGGAAATATAAAAGAATATCAAGCCATAGTTGGATCCCTTATGTATCTTGTCATAGGGAGTCGCCCTGATCTAGCCTACACTGTCACACTCTTAAGCCAGTTTTCATCTTGCCCAAACGAAAGTCATTTGCGAGCCGCCAAACGAACTCTTCGATATCTAGCTGGAACAACCGATTGGGATTTGTTTTACCCGCATGGAACCAGCAGGGTACTCGAGGTGTATGCCGACGCATCCTATGCTGACGATCCTCATACTCGAAGATCCACATCAGGATATGTAATTCGCCTAGGCAATGCTGCAATATCATGGAGCAGCAAACAACAGCGATCTGTGGCATTATCAACTACAGAAGCCGAATATATGGCCATGTCACTAGCTGCACGCCAGACTACCTGGACAAAATTTGGGTTAAAACAACTGCGCCAAGAGTATGACACAATGCTCTACACTGATAACAATGGAGCCCAAGAACTTGCAAGAAACCCGCGGATTCACGGTCGTTCAAAACATATCGACGTACATTATCATTACGTTCGTGAGAAGTTTAACGAAGGAGAATTTGAACTTCTCCACGTGAAATCAGCTAATAACCTTGCCGATCTACTCACCAAGTCTCTCGTTAAATCTATACATCACCGACTTTCAGATCATATCAGATGTGCAAAGCGAGGGGAAGTGTTGTGATCTAACGCTGTTCAAATCTGCGGACTTCGTGGTGAGCAGTTATACTACCTCACGTGATAGAACATGGGAGTGAAGTAAAAGAGTGGTCAACCCACTAGCCAGATCTAAGCGATTACTGGCACACATAGAACTGTAACACATTCTTTGTAGATAGAACAATAACATAATTATCATCAGTGATTAAATTAATCCCCACACAATTGAGACCCATTGAAGTGCCAACTTTCATACCACCCTCAACTGTATTGTCGCAATCGCATCCATAACAAGCCACCATTGCAACTCAGAGCATACTCTCAAACTGTGATCAACTACACCACCAGGTTTAGCATAAATCGCAATAGGAAGAACACCAGCTGAGATTTTAAAAGTCGGGGACAAAGTCTGGCTGAACCTAAAAAACGGTACGACTCCACAACTTTAAAAGAAGTTCTCTTTGAAAAATGCCAAATACTAAATTACAAGAGTTGTGGCTCCAGATGTTTACAAACTTGATGACCCTAGCGGCATTCGTCCGAGATTCTTTGTGGACCTCCTCCGTCGGGATCCTGATGATCCCCTACCTTTTCAAATTACAGACGACAGCCAATCCCCGCCATTGCTTGACTGAAAACATCCTCTCTACGCCGTTGACAAAATCTTAAGAGCTGAGAAATTTAATGGTAAAAGGCTGCTATGTGTAAAATACACAGATTATATAGAAACATCCTGTTTCACGGATCCGTAAATAGAATTTTAATACTAATTTTAATTCGTGATAAGATGAAGGGGTAATTAATTAAAACCATCAATTTAATAATATCTTCCCCTATACAATTAGTTGTGTAAAAAGTCATGTAAGGATATACAAGAGAGTCATGAAGAGAAGGACAAGAACACAACCATCAATGCGAAGATATTGGCAAGAATTGATTACGATTAATTCCGGCTGGCAAATGCTTCTACTCTTGTATATAATAGTTCAGCGTGAGAGAGATTTACTCCTCACGCAACGTCTTCTTTATCTACCCTTTACAATAAATTTGTTTACCCATCTCTTCTTCGGGAAGACCATTTATCCATTTCCCAGTTCTTTATCAGCAAGACCCACGTGTAACACCTACTGCAACTAGTTGCCCATTCATCTCTTCCTAGAGAAGACCTGTCATTCCTTTGACCCATTTATAACCTTCACTTACCACCTAGATCTTCACTAGGCTATACAACGCACCCCGTGGAACACTATCAAACCCTCATCCCTGAGATCCTGGGAGCCGCGAGAAAATCTCGTTCTAACAGACGCTTTCCGCAACTTCGTCCAACAGTACGGGGAGGGTGATAATGCAGGTGATCCAGATATAGGTAGCTATATGGGATCCCGAGGCAAAAATAAAAACAAGAGAAAATCTAGAAAGAAAAAAACCACTTGAAATTTCAGAGCCGAGAGGAGAGAGGTGATGTTACGGGTCCACAACTAATATCGATCCCTCGCGTATAAGCACGCACTTAGCATATATGTAGAACGTGTTTTCCCTCTGTATTTGCCTTTCTTAGTTCATAGAGAATCTGAATAGACTACTTTCCCTCGTTTGATTGACTAAATCACGACCCATTTCGTGACAGATGATTGTAAAGATGTCACAGTCTAAGCATAGACACTTGGGCAACCTTATGGTCAGAGGTAGTTTTAATTTCAACCTATGGTGAACTACAGATTGAAGAGGATAATAACAGTTACTTTATACATGATTATTATCCCAGCCAATGACACAGATTTCTATCCGTATATACGTATTCCCTACTCGTATTCCCTACTCATATCCCCTACTCGTATCACATTCTCGTGCCCCATCCCCGGACGTGTTACAATATTAGTATTGCCACTTAGAAGGCCCTCCTAGTTTCATGCTAAGGCTGCGTTAGACAGCGTAGGCTACAGGCAATTACCGGCTTACAAGCCGTCACAAAAGAGGGCTGCGAGATAAGTTTGGCTGGGAGTAATTTTGCAGAGAAAAAAAATAGATCTTGAAGGTGTCAGTTGTTGCAATACGAACATCAGACAGGTTATATCCTGTCAACGATTCGTATCTGGGGTGTAGATAGTTGATTTCGTTGAGTTTTGCGGTCGTGAAATCACAGCAAGTCGGATTTTCGAGCAAAAATGAGCCAACACCACTCCTCCCGATCGCCAACTCGACGAAAACCCTCATATTCACCCTATGTCGTGACTGAAACTCGGCTTTGGGATAAAATTTCACTTCCAGGCTCGTAGAGGATACCACTTACAGGTGTCCAGCCTTCGTTCTCTAGTCCCACCACGGTGTTCTCTTTTTAGGAAATTTTAGATTATTTTGTGGCATTGCTTACGTGAAGCGACCGTGACCTTCGTTTTGTACAAGCTACACTACAGAAACACTAACTCGATGGCGCCGCTCACTGTCAGTACAGGCTCAGTGCATTTGTATTCGCCTCATAGTTATAGTGCGCGTCGATTCGCTATTCCAACGATTGGGAGCTCTAGAAACCATATATTCGTGGCTGATTGACTCTTCCGTGATTTGCTTCTGATGAACACAAAAATTGCTGCGAGAGAGGTTCGTGCAAGCAATAAGCTAGACGAACACTACTACCTTACATAAGGAGTTTGTGACAAGAAAGCATCTAAGCTCGTGCTATCAGGGATTATTTAAACTCTAGGTAGGATGGACGTTTAAAAGATTAGTCGTCTGAGCTTATGTCGCAATTGTTGCGGGGACTGATTATATTAGCTATTCACAAAATTGTGTTGTAAACTGAGTGATATTCTGCGTGAACTACGTCGACCTCATGCTTATTTACTCAATATCGCGCGTCGCATATAGATATATGTAAATATTATCCATTACACAATCTCGTTAACCAGGCCAAGCCGTACACTCAAAGATTTCTCAATAAATGAATTGGATTAATTGCGGTTATAACTAAATAATGCATTATTCTGTAGTAGTAGTTACAACCTGGATAGCTTGGATTTCTTTACTACCAGAGAGGATGGATAACGAAGCAGGATAAATAAGTTAAGTACTTTTCTCGTGGTGATGGGACTCAGGATGTTAAAGCGATGCCAAAAGAAATCAATTATTCGATATTTCTCGTTGATACTTGTTTGCAGGAATTCACTGGCGGTGCTATGCAATAAAAGTTCAAACCGATATTTGCGACTAAAAGATAGTATTAGTATCTCCGAAATGAAATAGTCATCTAACATGTACATAAAACACGTGTCATATGTAATAGCAAGATAATAAATACACATCAAAGGATAAATTAAAGACGTTTATGATAAAGATAATGAGACCACGCCTATCAGCATTGTTTTCCACGACCTTTTTGCTCTTATGGTATAGGACGCCGGTAGTGCTCGTTGAGTTCTTGTCTCCCTGAATACATAGTAAACAATTAAATGAGAGCAAAAAATTGATTGTGGTTCATGGACTGTGATTAAACGATGGGATATAAACTTGATGTGCACACCTTCAGCTTCAAATCAGAAAGATTTTCGTGTTGCACCTTGGATACAGGAGTAAAAATTCCAATGAAAGACATTAGATTTCATCCAGACCATTCGTATTGTGGTTTCAGAACAGTCAATGTTATCATGTCGCAGGAATCATATTTTTTATTCCATACGACTGGATGAAGATTTTTGAGAAATTATTCCGACTTGGGCTTTCGTTATTTCCCGTAAAACTGTTTCCACGAACAAGTTTCACATTGAGACATATCGAAAACTTTTTGATTATTGAGCTAGAATTTATAGATTGAAATTCTAATTTTGGCTAGGTTTAATGAGAAATTATTCAACCTTAAATTTCTATAGCTCTTTCTCGTGAGAAGGCCTCGTGGCAATGCTACCTCTCTTGGCATAGATATTGGCTGTGAAAGGATTTTCCAGTCTCAATGCAATCATGTAGGTAACTAAAACCTCCGTTGTCAAGATTATTCCAGCAGGCTTTCCAAAGAATAGTGCTGTCCCTAGGAAACTCATTGTGCTTCCGTAATACATGGGTGCGTCGGTAACATTAAACGGGAAGCCCGTCACCATTTCGTCCATTAGAATTCCGAAATAATCACCAAGGTATGTACCAGTTATTCCGAGGGCCCACATTGAGGATATGACTAGGATATTGCCTGAAATAACTAAAACAAGGGCTAGAAGCTGAAAGGGGGTTGTCAACAAGAGTGGCATGGTAGGCTGATCACGGAGGGCGCGCTCATAGAGAAAATCTCGGAATATCCCCAAGCAAAAGATGGTAACTGCGAGTATATAACAGCCGAGGCGTGCATTGCCACCAGCAAGTTTAGTTAGGGACTTATCATGATATTCTGTCTGTATTTTAGTGTTGGCTAATTGTAGGACATCATGAGAGCTACCTTTTCGCGCAACGATACTAGAATATATTTTAGCGAGTGATGAACTGGCATAATGGATACATTTGAAGACTTACTTCCAGAATGTTGGGTTAAACAAAATCGATCCAGCCGCAACTAGAAACCAAGAGTGTCAGTGTTTGGTCGGAGTGTAACGAAAGTGTAGTTCAAAGCTTACTGGCAAAACTTTTCTGACTCAAGTCGATAAATTCGATCAAATTTGTAGATGGACCTTCCATAATGCCAGACTTGACCTTAACAACGCCAATTTTCAGGTGTTGTGTTTAACAATCACTGAATACCAGATCGTGAGGGGAACTGAGGTTTGGCTATCTCGTCTAGAAGGCGTACTAATTGATGACTTGTCCGCTTCTCGGTTGACCAAAGCATCCCGTGCCAGATGGCAAGGTTAATCTAAAATGTGCCTGTGACTGTCAAGTATTTTGGTAGTGGGATATATGTGAATATAACAGTACTATTTTGTCACCATATCTTCCAAGGGATGGTGCCCTAGCCATAGCTGAAGCCCGGTAGACCTTGAGAAATAAATAAATATCAAAGAACTATTTCATCAAGATTATTTTCTGGGTTGGAAATAATTAGTAGCACTTGTGACCTTGTCTTCTTTTTTATCTTTTTTCTTCAGATTTTAACAGCATATGCAGCAACCTAGCTATGATACAATATCGGAGAAAATGCACAGAAAAGATGACTCAGTGTAACTGAAGAGAACTCATGTCTTGGATTTCATTTACAAGTATTAATGCGAAGAAATGGCGGCTTTTTCTTCTCTCCAAGTCGACCCTCATCCGTGAATACCCACCCTAGGGAACGTCCCCAAAACCCTCAGTTATCCAGACGAGCCTCCATTATCCGCCGAATTTTCTCCGCGTAAAATATGGTCTAAGATGTTGCCTTCCCAAGTGAAGTAGGTACTCACCCTGCTCAAACTATAATGGAGATCTGCTATGATTATAAGCTTACGGTAGTATATAGGCCGAAGCTCCTGTTTAGCATTATGCGTAGGTAGTAATAACCTTATGGACTGAATGCTGTGTGTTAAAGACTGTGTTGGTCTGATTAGGAGAAGAATTTTGATACATACAAGATTGAGGTGTCTGTGCACTGAATATTAACAAAAACAGAGGAGGGCAAGACTGAACACCTGTAAGCAGTGTTCTCTGCAAACCTTGGAGTGAAATATTCTCCCAGAGCCAAGTTCAGTCAAATTTCGCAATACTAAAGAAGTTGGCCCACGAGGCAATGATTCAAAATACTCCACCACGTCAATTTTCCACACCTAACGAGATCGACTCATACCTAAGCATCATAAAGTCTACAAGTACGACCTACTACACCCTCATTCCATTGACCACAACTCTCGTCGACTTTCTCTGGCCTCAGCTGGTCGCCAAACACACGACCACTATAGAAACACCCGACGGAGGAAGCAAAACGTGGCGCACATATCCGGGAGACAGTTTTTTTTTAATTCATTTTTGTCCTGTCTGGGTCTATGACTATGTAGGACATGCAGGTCCTCTCAGCCTACAGGCCAAGGATACCTATACCAGTAGTATATCCCCTCTTATGCCTCCCATACAGCTCCCCTCAAACAGTACCACACCTCACAAGTCCTCACTCGATCATACGCTTAGAGGAGCCCTTTGCCCTTCATTATCTGCTCTCTCCAGCCAACAAAACGATGGCCATTTGCTGGTGTGTGGCAGCCGGGAAAAATCGCAAAAACAACTGGATGCGGGGCTCTCCTAATAGCGACGTTAGGACTAAATCCCAAGACATAAGGATCCTTCTGAAGCGTTCAGAGAGGCCGGCCAGCTGGGCGCTGCAGACTTGTGTGTACCTCTTGAAATTCACCCTCTGCCTTTCTAGCCTCCTTCAAGCTCCTTCTCGAATGTCGTGCTGAATCCGAGAGACAGTTCTTTGGTATGGACGTGATAGGGGTCAGGATAAGTTCACAAGATGATGCAAAGGATGGATACATTCTTGACGATTGTTAAAATTCAAATTTTGGTAAGGAGATTAACAAAATGAACTTTGTGAGAGTGCAGGCGACACTATAAACACCGCCATGGCTGGATGGTGCGGTGGCACATCGTCTTGGCCGGTCTGCCAAGTAAAGTCTGGATAGCTTGCACACCTATCCCACTCGAGACAGTAGATCGCTAGTTCACGTCCGGCAAAACACAACCACTTTTCTCGCGGCCCTGGTATGGATGGATGACGAAGGCATGCTTGGATAACCAAAGGTTTTGAAACGTCCCTTGGTCGGTACTTACGGAGGAAAGTGGATTATTTGTATAAGCGAACATACCTCATAGTTGTATTTACAAATGAAATCCAGAGTGTGAGTGTCTCTAACGCTAAAAGAGTCATCTAAAAAGTAAACATAGCATAGATTATTTGAAACAGCTAGATACACGTTAAATGATTTTAAAAATATAAAAATATAAAAATATAAAAAAACAGTCTTCACACCATCCATCAGACGATGTCATCAATCGTTGGAATACGCCTCAGGTATCTCCTTCAGAGATCGCACTTGTCAGTAAGAGTTCATATTTGATACCTACTGATACCCATTGGCTACAATGATACGTACTCAGTATCTATCGTGCTATTAACCTAGCGTGAGCACGCTATCTCCGCGACTCATCATTGCACATGAGCCCGTACTACTCTACTCGACGAATATCAGGGGTATAATTGCCATACACCTCTCAGCTCATAACCATAACACCCTCCTGCGCATCTTCCACGACACCTTTCAGCAGCAATACCCCCACGGGTCTTCATTCAAGTACACATTAAGAGGAGCCATTGTCACGTCATTATCTCCCCTCTCCAGCCAACGAAACGATGGCTATTTGCGGGTGTGTAGCTGCAGGGAAAAGCCTCGAATACCACTGGGTACGGGGCTCTCCTTGTCAAGGGATGGAGTTGATTGTAGTATCGTATGGTCACGTGCCATTAAGCGTCTGATGAGCGATTCACGATGTATGTATATTTATAGGACTCAATAGAAGTCGCTTTTTCTCTTTGTAGACAGTCTCAATCACCAGATTAAACCTCTTCAATCTCTCCTATAACCTTTACCCTGACACTCTCATGACGAACAGGCCGGCAAGCCGGGTGCAGTATATCCATGTATTCGTAAGAGTGTCTCTCAACCTTCCTAGCCTCCTCCTTACTCCTCCATTAATTCATGCCGCAGGACAAACCGAAGGTCGTGAAAAGATGTCAGAAAAGTCTTGGTCGATAGTGACTGTCGTGAAGGAGCCTAGCCCAGCATCCAAAGGTTGTTACGGAAGTGGGAATGTCGAGTAACTCATGTATTTCAGATGCCTTCCTGGCTAGTAGATTCGGAAGTTATGATTAGTAAGGACGATATTGTAGACGAGTCGAAATCTGCTTTTCTTGAGGGCGGAAGGATCTTTTACTTTGCTTTCGTGAACTTTTTGTTTGCCCGCCAGTGGGTAGCACATGTTGAATTGTAACGAGGGCCTCTGACTGCAAATGTAGCGTTTAGTAGCGCATTATCTGTCCTCATTTCCAGCATAATTATCGTCGTCTTGGTGGTCTTACGAGTCATCGGAAGCGTATTTTTGACGGAGGGGGAGATAACTCAGCTCAAAGTTGATAAGGTATTACTCAATCTCGGCTCTGCAGATTCTACAGTGAGAGCTAGAGGTTCGTAGGGGACACCACTGACAGGTGTTGAGAATAGTCCCCGTCAACATTTGAGATGATTGCCACTCGTAGCATGACCATACCTATCTATCCTGATATCTCTCATGTCGGCTCAAATCATCTGCTATTCAACCTCGGGAGCCGCGATTTATTTCCTCCTGAAGATATTGACGTCATCTTGAGCTACTATTCGGAGGCCGGGACCGATACTAAGAGAGGGGAGGTCATAGAAATAAGGATAGGTCGTATAGACTGTCAGAACGTTTTAAAGGTAAGATCTTTGGAGTATATCTCGGCATGAAGATTTGGGATGATTCATATTTTTTTTTGATTCATATTGTTTTCAGCTATCTAGCTATGACAATTAAATATCCAATTAATTTTACATTGCAGAATGACACCAGCTAATGCCCCAATCACCTCTCAATTCATCTTCATATCCATTATTTATGTACCTATTTCATCTCCTTTGTATGCTGACATACACTTGGATGTTTTCATAAATTCTAGAAGGGCTTCCTTCCCCCTTTTGGTTCTTAATTAAATTTGTACTGAAAGAGGCTTTATGTCTACAAATGCCAATTCTCTCTGCTTGCAAAATCTGGTACAATGATAAATTAAATGTTTTGTGGTCTACTTTTTAGACTTGCAAAAATTGCAGCTTTGATCTTTAACTTTACCAATTATACTCAGGTAAGCTCTAGTATTTCCTATCCTAGTTCTGGCCTGGATAATGCTGATTCAACCATCCTGCTGTGGTTTTGAAAGTGAAATGGTTGTAAGGGAAAAGTTGGTATGTGCATCTGGGCTTGGATTCCGTAGAACTTTCCAAGTCCTCTAGACCTTCTACTCTCCTCTTCTCGGAGAACTTCAGTTTGCCAGTCATTGTGCCAAGCATTTCAAACATATTCAGATGCTTTCTGCTTGAGGAAGGAATGGGATGTAAATTTGTATTTTCTTAAAGCTGTCTTTTTTACTGCTCCTTTTGCAAGTGAGTCAGCAAGTTTATTACCATCAATACCCACATGGGCTGGACACCAAGAAATGGTTAGATTGCAGTCTTTGGCTAGGTTTCGAATTTGGTGTGAGAGGTGGTTTGTCTTCCCCTGTATTCTCTGAAGGCTTGCTTGGCTGTCGCTGAAAATTTGGTAAGGGATGATTCATTGTTAATCGGTATGAAATGGCCATATCTTTCTAATGGACTGCAATGGTCAATATACGTACAAAAGGCTTGTTATATACACATCTGAGGTAGCTAGACTGTCGCCTTTCTTTCCCAAAGCAGTATCGCGGTATATTCTAGTATCATACACCTGGTTGTACAATCAGAAAGACTTTCCATATTGTACTCCATCATTTATCTACTCATCAATTATCCAGCTACAAATATTCTCTTTCAATCCCAGTAATCATTAGCCCTGTGCATTGTAACCTTGGCTTTGACCAAAACAACTCAGGATGAGTCTTTGGTTCGGCAACTTCCTGTTGGGAGTGATAGATTGAAGTGGTAGTGAGTCTTGAATTGTTTCTTTATGAGTCAACTTGTTCTGTATTGCAAAATTTCGTTGTGGTAAGTTTAGGGAGAAGACCAAGCCACCAGCTTTGTAGAGGTACTACCAACATGTATTTAGTCATTATCCCCGAAACCCCATGGCTTCACACTAATCTGCAGACTGTAAATCAGAAGCAATAAGACGCTCCAAGTAATGACTTTGCCAGTGTCCAGGTGAGAGGTGCATTTAATCGTATCAAGTGCGCTGAGGACTTAATCGAAATTTAACCTATTAAACCCGCTTCACGTATCGTATTGAGTAATTATGTGACCAGCTTCTTGGCTGTATTACCTATGTGCGGACGCCATGCAAGAGCATCAATATCGGTTATTGCTCTGATGTTATTAAGCATAACAACTATTCAACCGAGCAAAGGCTCTTGATAATGGTAGTCTCTTGATTTTTTCAAGGGTTCGCACTGTCTAGAAATATTTGTCTTACGCCGTAAGATTGTGTTCTAGGATTTTAAAACGTCATAAATCCCTACCTGGTACAGCGGTGCTTATGGAGATAAATGTTGAATAAGAAACTCAATTGATACATGCCTCTGAAAACGCTCAAATACAATCCATTCTTTTTGTATGATAAAGTTAGTAATCTCTCTCCATGTACATGCCGCTGTGATCTGTTTTCAGTACTCTCATAAATCTATTTTTTGTAAACGAAGATCATCACAGTGTGGTCTTAATGGTAATTTTTTCGGTTTCATGCCACTCAGTTTTCACTTTCTAGATGATTTTTGAAGACAGTTGGTCGACGTTTAACTTACTTCGAACTACAGATAGATTCCGGGTTATGACTGCATTTGCGCCTAGTATTAGTAGATTAAAGGTGTCATTGTATCAGTTCTGGTCGATAATACACAACAGTTTGCATTCTCATTTCTATGATGCGTCAGGTCTAATTAAGCTTCACTACACTTGCAAAATTAGCTGTAAGAAGTTGTCATTGGTCGCAAAATAAACAAGTTTTAACTGTGGCTCCATGATGACTTAATTATCTCATCTTTAAGGTTTGGTCTTCTTCATTGTCGAGTTCCACCGCCCATCAATAATTTGAGCATCGGCCGTATCTCAACACGGCTACAACGTTATAGCTGATTCATATCTTTGTTATCGTCTAGATTAATTATGTGATTATCACGAGTGTCATTAACATTATAATTAGGAACCTACAGTTGTCAGACAACGCTTTCTCTCTTCCTTGTGGCCTAGGAGATTACGTGATCCGTGCGGATATGTCATCCAATGTAATTTTCTCGTCCGGGCGTCCGGATGCTACCATTGACATCGCAACAACTACCACTCCTGCTCCATTTGCCATAGATCCCTCCACCTCAATTTGGTTAGCTACTTGGCCGCATTTTCTGATCATTCTTTCCGTCGACTTTCTAAACCTCCCCTCTAATACCTATTCTATCCGCAGTAAAAAGTACTATCAAACCTCACTATGTCTGAAGTTTCCTCTACGCGGTTGTACTTGGGCAATCTACCACGAAATGGTGAGGCATCTCGATCAAACCTAATCGGCAACTTCGGATTCATAACTGAATAACAATCATGGACGCTAATCAATATGCTTAGCTACTAAGGCCGACGTTGAGGCTCATTTTAATGCTCATGGTACAGGTGAAATCACTGAGATTAAGCTGATGAACGGGTTCGGATTCATCGAATACAAAGATGCATTAGACGCGCGCGATGTTGTTCCAGGTATGGCCTCAGATTTTCAGTTCAAATCAAACTAAGAAATACATTTACAGCCTTTCATGGCTCTGACTTTATGGGCGAGCGCTTGACGGTGCAGTTCGCCCGTGGATCCCGTAGTCGTGAGGCTTTTGCCAATACCGAACGTATAGCACCACGCCCAAGACGCACACCTCACCGTATGCAAATATCGGGACTTCCAGGTGAAACCAGCTGGCAGGTCTGTTTCCCCTGTTTCTTCCTCCGGATTTCTGGACCTTCAAATCATCCCTTGGGTCTCCACACCACCTTTTCCAACGCCTTTATCTTTCTGGCCAGTATTTTGCCCCTTTAGGGCAAATAGAGTAGCGCAGTGTGCTAGTGCATTTACATTAGCTCCTCTTGGACTTCAGAAGGTTTCACATGCACCTATGGAATACCCTATATTTTTTCCAGGAATCTCTCTGTACTTCTTCTGTATTACTTTTTTGTCTGGATAACGTCACTTATTAAGGAGATGCTGGAGCACTGGACCATGTCATTTCACGCAACTTGCGTACAGTAGGCAACTTTGGATAGCAGACATAAACCCTCTCAACGCCGCTCCTGGACAACAACTTACATGGATTCTGGATATAGGACCTTAAAGATTTCGCACGCCAATCTAGCCTCGATGTTGTATATTCTGAGACAGGGCGAGACCGTGAGGGTAAAGGGTTAGTTACACCAATCTACTGATTCAATGGCTTACCTATTGCTCAGGAGCTTCGTTGAATTTGAGACGGCCGCAGATCTTAAGCTAGCAGTTGAAAAGCTCGACGGACGTGAATTTAAAGGAGTCGCTGTAACCTGCGTCGCCGACGTATGTATAAACCCTGAAGATGAACCACATTAAATTCTAATTCTACTAGACTCAACCTGATATACCCCGTGATCGTGCCCGATCGCGATCTCCAGGATATCGTCGCTCTTATCCAGCTGACGATTACGAACGCCGTGCACCTAATCGAGGATACAGCCCGCGCCGCGATGCTTATCGTGATAGAAGTGTACCTCGTCGGGGCTACTATGAAGATGACCGCACACGGTATGGACGCTCCCCTCCACGGGCTCGTGCCCCAACTGAAGAATACCCTCCAACACGCCGTGGCGCTGCGTTTGAAGAACCGTACCGTCGTGATTATCCTTCTGACCCTTATGTGAACGGCCGGAATCCAAGGGATTATGCCCACCCAAGAGACTATCCTCACAGGGATACTCCATACGAGTATGAAAGACCCCGCCGCTATTGGTAATCCCCCGACAACCCCCTGTACCTATCTGAGAAATGCTTATCTTATGTCTATTTAGAAACCCATATCACACATGACCACGGACTATGAAAATATAATCATACATGGTTAGGTAATTTATAGATTGTTCGGCTACATCGACCTTGGGCCTAGATTGCTGGCTGTTACTGCCAGAGGTACTACCTAACAATACAGCAGGCCTACCTCAGATGTACAGTATGGAGAAATAATCGTTCGCTGGAATACCGTTCCGGTGGGTGACTAAGTCTATGCTCAAGCAAAAGTAAGACTAAGATTACAGCCATCATTGAAATAATGATGTTCAGCAACAACTAAATTAGAAACATCAAGTTTATTGTAGTCAACTTTGTCTATAATCTATTTGTCAACTTAAGTGAGAACTGTTATTCCACGGATACTGTCTGAATTCAAAGCTACTGTAGAAATAAATTTTAACGTGTGAAAATCAAGGTGTAGGAGCTCTCCTCGTGGGATAAGTACTGATATTTATGTCCCAATTCTCAACGGTCACTCGAAAGCAATGTCATAGAGAATACCGTTCCTAGCTTTCAAATTGTGAACAAATGCGGACGACTACAATGCCTTGATTGGCGTTAGAATTTTGTAAAATCACCAATTCTTTTTAGATTTCCGGTCATGTCGAGTGCTTTAATGCAAGTTGCTTTCCCCAGACATCTGTTGTTAGCCAATCACCTCATACGAAATTACAGTACCTCCCATATCCTTAGATTGTTTTCTATTTGACACCTGACTTAACTTGTTTTTGTTAGGGGAAAGACGCCAATGCTTACTGCTCTTGGAGCCTGAGGCAAACATCTTTCATAAACCAATTAGGGGGCCTGGGATGAAATGCGATGTCGAGTGTGTTTTTGTTTATTATACTACTTGAGTCAATAACTATTTAGCACATTGGGCTTCCAACTGACCTAGACCACACCTTGCACAAAAAGTTTTTCCTCTTTTTTTACTTGAAAGATCATTGATATATTGCCCGTGATGAATAGCCATTTAGCTCAGTATTTACCCGTCGAATTAAGCCGCCTTCTCCACGGAACCTTCTACCCAAAAAAATAAAAATGGTAGCAATGGAAACTGCGTACGCAGGAAAAAGTCTCAAAAAACCTGCAGCCCCAGCCATGCGAGGCCTGGACACCGGGACCACATGAGGTGCGCATATTCATCTATATCTCCCTTCTTTGTAACAGTCGAGGTCGACTTGATTCAATCCACAATCTCCGTATCGGGTGCTGGGTACGCTCCGGAAACTCATCGGATGGCATCTCCTACATGATCAAGGGTTGATGATGAGTAGGGCTCCGACCCTACTATCTGATCTGATCGTGGTTAGATTCATGATAATGGTGATAGGGGGATGTTTTGAGAGATGAAGACGATACAGATCGCGAAAGCTTACGTTGAATCATCTGTTCTATCCTTTTCTTTGATATTATGTCATAACTAGATAGCTGCATACGCAATTAAAATCTGATGCAAAAAAAAAAAAAAAGACCGCGAAAGCGATTGGGAATTTACGTCGAAGTGGGGACTTTGTTACTCAATTTCGGCTCTGCAGAATCCGCAGACTATACAGTGAGAGCTGGAGGTTCGTAGGGGACACTACTGACAGGTGTTGAGAATAGTCCCCCAATGCGATGTCGAGTGTGACGGTTCAAGTATATAAAGCTTGGGCGTTTGTATGTTGAAAGGTAAGTTTATTTATTAACTGAGGAACAAAAGTACTGCTACATCTAACGCCCTATTTATATACATAATCTCAATATTCTAAACACTAGTATCTGTCTTCCAGTCGTGATCCCATTAACCAGGTGTGAGTTTACTACCAACCATGTTTCGTGCAAGATACTCCCGACCTATACTTAGAAAGGACTTACATGTATTTACATACTCATAGACATAGAATACGAGCGTAATTTGGCGCTGACCTTAAGAAAATTCCTGTGCTATTCAGCACAGGCTACAGGCGATCTATCATCTTACTAGCCGTCACATTAAGCGACTTAAACCGTCACCCTGTCCACGAAAACTTACGACCCCTACATGAGATAAGGACCAATTAAGGTAAGAAGAAAACCTTCCAGTCATGCTAAAGTGAAAATAGAAGATATGAAAGAAAGATGAACCCACAAGTATCTTTTTATTTTTCTCGAGATGAGTGGAGGTGAGATCAGACTAAGATTGCTTATCGGCATTGAATTGCTGCTAAGCGTCGTTCGTTGGCGATTAAGAGGAATCCTGAGGCATAACACGATAAAGAACTATGTTCTATCAAGCCATATTAAATGATTTAGAAAAAATATCAAGCCATTGTGCAGGTTTTGATGCTCCAGCGGGGAGGGCAAGACTGAACACCTGTCCGCGGTGTTATCTGCGAACCTTGGAGTAAAATATTCTCCCAGAGCCAAGTTCAGTCAAATTTCGTAACACTAAAGAAGTTGGCCCACGAGGCAATGATTCAAAATACTCCACCACGTCAATTTTCCACACCTAACGAGATCGACTCATACCTAAGCATCATAAAGTCTACAAGTACGACCTACTACACCCTCATTCCAATGACCACAACTCTCGTCGACTTTCTCTGGTCTCAGCTGGTCGCCAAACACACGACCACGCCGATATAAACACCCGACGGAGGAAGCAAAACGTGGCGCACATATCCGAGAGACATTTCTTTGGGATGGAAGTGAGAGAGATCAGGCCAAGTTTATAAGATGATGCGAGGGAGGGAGACAATCTCGACGGGCGTGAAATTTCGAATTTTGGCAAGGTGATTTTACAAATTGAACTTTGTGCGTGCCAGGACTTCGTTTGTGAGAAGGCAGGCGACACTATAAACATCGCCATGGCTGGATGGTGCGGTGGCACATCGTCTTGGCTGGCCTGCCAAGTAGAGTTTAGACAGCTTGCACACCTATCCCACTCGAGACAATAGATCGCTAGTTCACATCCGGCAAAACACAACCGCTTTTCTCGCGGCCCTGGTATGGATGGATGACGAAGGCATGCTTAGATAACCAAAGGTTTTGAAACGTCCCTTGGTCGGTACTTACGGAGGAGAGTCGATTGTTTGTATAACCGAACATACCTCGTAGTGGTATTTGCCAATGAGATCCAGAGTGTGAGTGTCTAACTTCAAAGGGTCATCCAATATGTATACATAGCAACGGTCATGTGTAATAGCTTTATAGCTGCATACACAATAAATGATTTAAAAAAAAAAGATGCTCCAGTGGGGTTACTAAGAAGGAACTTAAGTTTTTCTAACTCTCTGGTGGTTTGAGTGGTCTAGATATGATCAGCTTACAGTGCAAGAGGTGTTTAGGGGACCAGAGTCCGCTGCAGCTGCAGGTTGTGTGGGCGGATTGGTGATTCAAGCGGGCACGGTAAGCTGCGGGATCTGCGTATCTAGGGCGGACTTGCGAGCGGCAAGGCTTCGAGGTAGTGATAGCTCTGCGGGGCAGCCCATAGGATACTCAATTTCCAGGTCTTGGTGTGATTGGGGGGCATGCTTTGTATTGGAAATGGAGACACCGTGTTGTGGACGTACGGGCCCTCCATTTCGTCTAGGTTCCCGACTGTTAGAGAAAGGTATGCCAGCTTTTCGCAATCATATGTTAAAAATAAACTTATTTTCTATCTAGAGAAGAAAGTCGCAGCTACGAAGGGTTTTGGCTAATATAAACATGACGCGTCGCGTCACTCGCGAAACTTTACTAAGCAGAGTCGAGTCTTTTCCCAAAGTAAGTATGACGCCTATTCGGAGTCGGATAAACTCCGGTTCCAGAGAAACCAGGCCACGGCCTGTAATGCCAACACGATGTTGTCTGTATTCATGAGGTTGAAATGGGTAATATAGTAGCGCTTCAGGCTATGTATGGGATACATGAGCGGCTGTACGGCGTGGGCACGAGGAGGCTATTAGGGTTTTTCTATGCCTAGATGGCGCCACACTCGTTTATGATGTGGCTTAGGCTCTGTGTCGCTTACACTTGTACTTTTTTTTTGCATCAGATTTTAATTGCGTATGCAGCTATCTAGCTATGACACAATATCAAAGAAAAGTACAGAAAAGATGAATCAATTTACAGGAGGAGCACTCATGCCTTGGATTTCATTTTCTAGTGCCACTGACGAGTCGTGGTGGCTTTTTCTTCTCCCCAAGTCAACCCTCATCCGTGAATACCCACTCAGGGGAACGTCTCAAAAATCCTGAGTTATCCAGACATGCCTCCATCATCTTTCAACTTTTCTCCGCGCGAAATGTAATCTGAGATATCTCTTTCCCATGTGGAGTAGGTACCCAGGCTACTCAAACCATACCAGAGAACACCACCAGGAGGCGGACCATAATACCTTCCATCGTTGGCTTGTGTTTATAGTGTCAGCTGCAATCTCACAAGCGAAGTCTTAGCACACACAAAGCTCAATTCGTAAAACTCCTTGCCAAAATTCGGAATTTCACTCCCTTCAAGGTTATATCCTTCCTTTGCATCATCTTATAAACTTGTCCTAATCCCTCTCACGCCAGTCTCAAAGAGCTATCTCCCAGATTTGTGCTCCACGCTTTACTTCCTCCGTCGGGTATAAATATCGGCATGGGCGTGTATTTGGTGACCAGCTGAGGCCAGAGAAAGTCGACGAGAGGTGTGGTCATTGGGATGAGAATGTACTTGGTCGTACTTGTAGACTTGATGAAGCTTAGTTGGGAATCTGACTCTTTGTGAGTGGAAGATTGATGTGGTGGAGTAATTTGAATCATTGCCTCGAGGGCCAACTTGTTTGGTATTGCGAAATTTGACTGAACTTGGCTCTGGGAGAATATTTCACTCCCAGGTTCGTAGAGGACACCGCGTACAGGTGTTCAGTCTTGCCCTCCTACGCTTGTACTTGTAGCGTACACCTCCCATACTTTTTGCCTCAATCCGAACTTGAATCACTTTAAATAAAATTCTACTTTCGTT